GGGGGGGGGGGGGGGGGGGGGGGGGGGGGGGGGGGGGGGGGGGGGGGGGGGGGGGGGGGGGGGGGGGGGGGGGGAGTGCGATATGGCGGGGGAGCAGGATACGCGGTTGCGGCGACAGCACGATAGCCAATCGCCTGCATCAAATCACCACGATTGTAGGCCTGTTGTCAGCACAAAATTATTCCACGGCATTTTTTCTTTGAACTTTTATATTTAGAACTTTTATGACCGCAGCGCTCCCTCCGGGTTACATATCGCCTAAGGTGTACCTGAGCTCATGTCGACAAGCCAAAAGGTGGCTTTTGTCACTCGCCTGGTGATTCGCATAGTCCTCAGCGACGACAGAAACCCCGCAACGCGTGCTGCATACTACGGGGCGAAGTCGGCACGACTCCGCAAGGTGGCGTGCCAGCTCCCGGTGCTGGAGGCGATACGCGCCGCACTTGTAGTTGCACTCAACCTGCATGCGTTTAATATGCGTATCGCATATCATGTGTCATGGTTCATAACCCTCGTGCTAAACGTGGATGTGGAACGGAACACGCGAGAGCGAACACATCGACTTGATGGATACTTGCCTACAAGCACTCGGACAAGTACATAGCGGATGATGACATAGAGCATATGGGACTAAGCGATACACACGCACAGCGGAATACGACTTACCTCCCGATGGGCACATTGTTGCTCGTGTTCGATCTTGCGGTGGCCCGTCTCCACCAGCTTACCGCACCCCCAGCAGCACGGAACGAGGGGATTGGCCGCCCCGCGCTGCCCTGCCGCGACTCCGAAGTACCCAGCCTCTTTCTGTTGCATACAAATGATAGGTGGACCCAAATGATGAGTTGGTCAAACGAGAGTTCGCGGAGGAAACGGGCAAGACTTCGTGGAGGGGTAGCCTATTGCGTGCTTCTTTGGCGAAACTACATGTATCCATCGATTGGCCAACAAGCATAGGAGGACAAAGATGTGTGATCTGATAAGTGCTTACCACGCTCGTCGACATCGTATCATATATACAATGCTCAAACCTACCATTTCCTTCGCGGTACTGCAACTCACTCTCCAATCCGCCTGCCCCCCCTCGCCTCTTCTTCCCCCGTGCACGGCCACTATCCCCCACTTTCTCAAACGCTACTACGTCTGCATCCCCTTACCCGAGCGAGCTCTCCCTGCACGTCAACAAACGCCCTTCTCTTGGCTACATCCGCTGCCGTCTCGCCGTTCCCGTCCTCCACCGCCGGATCAGCCCCGCGGTCGAGCAGGAGCCTCACCATCGAAGCATGCCCCGCGGCAGCGGCGGCCACGAGAGGCGGCCGGCAGAATCGCTCTCCTAGCCCCACCGCTGCGGTGGCCGCTCGCGATACCCGCGAAGAAGGGGGTGTGGCTAGTGATGGCGGGGATCCCGGTTGGCGTTGCCCCGGGGTTTGGCGTAGAGGTGGCAGGGGCGTTATCGGGCGGCGTTTGGGGCGGCGGTTTATGTCGGCGCCGCGATCGAGGAGGACCTCGGCGGTCTCGAGACGACCCAGGGTGCAGGCGCGGGTAAGCGCTGTGTGTCCCGTCACCTTCGACTCGTAGTCGATCTTTGTGGTTATTTGTTGTTGTCATTCGTTGTGGTCGGCGCGGGGGGAGTGGTGCGGCAAGATGACAAACGGTCCACACGCGCAGAGGAAACCAGGCGGGTGCGCGGGACGGGGAAACGAGGCGTCACGATATAATTAGAATTTTTGACTGCATTATTATCAGCAGCAAGCAATGATACCCAATGGTCGTGTCGCAACATCACACTGTTTCCGAGGCGTCTTCCGACCTTCGCTTCTTCATACTCAGGAACACGCGATGCGCGAAAGGCGATCGGCGGAAAGCAGGCTCTACCTCTTCCGTGACAGGGCCTGTCCATCGACGATGTACCTACGCGGGTCGTTCGCGGTCCTCATAGAACCCGTAATCGTAGGCAGCCAACCGGCTCAGCATCGGAACATTTTTTCACGCAGTGCTCAAAACGTCACGCGCAGAACATAACACAACTGTAGGACAACAACCCAAAAGGAAAGACAACGTAGTCGTATCCACAGAGAGTATAGGTGATGGTGCGCGCACTTTCGGGCGGTGAATTCGCCGATCCAAGAGCAGGGCGGCCGCCAACACTTCCCACCCCTCCTCGTTCCTGACCCAGGTGTGGTTCGGAGCGTGAGGGTCTTCCTCGGCGGCGATGATGAGAGCCGTGCAGCCGTTCTCCGTCTCTCTGTCGATCGAAGCCCCTTCCTGATGTGTTTCGTTACACGAAACGGTGGATCATCAGGATCAAAGGGCCATCAAGAACAATCACCAGCAGCGAAGTTCAGGGGAGCGGGGAAGGGACGGACGAATAGCCAGAGAAATGGAAACAGAGGGGGCGTCCTGAGGTTTTCGAGACGGATAAGGATAGGGGCGGAGGTGATAGTGGTATGCTGCAGCCGAAGGAAGGTTGGGTTGCACGTCCACAGTCAAATTTCTTCTTCGACGACTCGGAGCAGGAGCACGCGCACTACAAGTACCACCATTAGTTCCTCGCCGCAAGGTCACTCGACTTTTGCGCCCACCGCCCCTTCCGAGACAGAATGTGCTGCCACGACGTCACGTATGTTCAAGCATTGGTGATACAGGAGTGCTGCTCCATTTCACAAAGACAAGGCAAACGAAACAAATGAGCGGGTTTCACCTGGCACAGAGCAATGACCTCAGGCGCCTTAAGATAGCCATCCTCGATGGCAGCGTCCATAGCTTTTATTAGGTCCTCCTGCTTCCTCATCTACGCAAAACAAGCAGCATCACGGAGGGGAGGGGAGGGAGGGGTGCTCATCATCAAGCTCGGTGGTAGTCCTTGGGGCATGCGGAACCGAGACGGGAAACCTCGGGTTTGATGGGGAGGTCCGTGCGGGGGGGGGGGGGTTCTGGTGGCAGCGCCACTTCTCGTGCCGGTGTGGCAAATGTTTCTATCGTGTTGAGAATTTGCTGTTGCTGTTGCATGAATGGATGTTTGTTTCGTTCGCGGGCTTGCTTTTGTCGTTCCTCGCTTTGTTACAAAGACGATCATCTTAGAAATTGGTGGACAGATAGGCTTGTTCGACTTGGGGGCGGGCGTGACGATGGAAGAACGGGTTGTGCGGTCGCTATTNGGGGGGGGGGGGGGGGGGGTTCTGGTGGCAGCGCCACTTCTCGTGCCGGTGTGGCAAATGTTTCTATCGTGTTGAGAATTTGCTGTTGCTGTTGCATGAATGGATGTTTGTTTCGTTCGCGGGCTTGCTTTTGTCGTTCCTCGCTTTGTTACAAAGACGATCATCTTAGAAATTGGTGGACAGATAGGCTTGTTCGACTTGGGGGCGGGCGTGACGATGGAAGAACGGGTTGTGCGGTCGCTATTTGACCCCCTTGCGGTTTTTGACCCATGAAAAGTCGCGGTGCTCCGTTCTTTTGACTGAGTTACGGGAACGGTCCTTGGTCTCAAGTAACTATAGTAAGCACGAACAATGTAGGCTTCCCCGGTATAGTCAGTGGTCGACCAGATGGGTCTCGTCCCGATATTGAGCAATGTCTAGCCTCTGGTTCCTCTGTGACTGGACAAATAAATAATCTCTTGAAATCCTGGTCCATATCGCGAGAACAGCACTAGGCAGGGAGATGAAAAGTATGACCACACGTATGCATACAACACATCACATGCATCATCCCCAACGAAGTAGCCTCCACGTACAATGCTGCCCTGTCTTTCTCCCCATCTTCCTTAACATCGTGATCACTCGGTTCAAATCAACGAAACTAACAGAAATAAAAGCACAACACTCGAGCAACAGTGTTACGCCCGTGAATCATATTGTAGTCATGTTCTTGTAGATCACATCTTCTTGCCGATGTGGCTACAGCTTTAGATGAACAGACAGACGCCCCCACCTTAATGCGCAAAGCCCTCCGCCTGCCCTTCTCCTCTCTCCCCATCGCCCCCACGGTCGTGATCTCTCTCCACACGGCTCCCGCGACCCGCTCCGTCACCGCGAAGCGATTTTTCATGTCCGTTTCCCCGACCCACCCTCTCCCGGGGATGCGCTCCTTGCATCCCCTGTCTCGCGTGCCGGCCTTCGCGCATTCGGCGACGCTACAGCACACAGCAGAGGTATGACACCATTTTTTCACAGCTGTGAGACAAGATAGCTACAAAGGTGTTGAGAACAACGCACATTCAGCATTGGGCGCCCCATTTCGTTACCTGTCCTGAGCCAACGCCGCCATAACTTGCTTGCTGATTAGGACTGCTTCAGGCGCACGTCTGCGAACACAATCTGATCTCCGGTAGGATGTAGCCTCAACTGAGATGGTTAATCCCCTGCAAAGCAGCAACGACCGAGTATGTTTCTAGCCTACCCCCCCCCCCCCCCCCCCCCCCCCCCCCCCCCCCCCCCCCCCCCCCCCCCC